ATGCACATGACTTTGTGTGACTTTGTAAATGGTCCAAGTGGGACCGAAACGTCGTCGTAAGCTTCTCTCTTTTATGTGCGGGTTATTTGTGCATATACGCACACTAACGCACTAACGCATTCATGCATACATGAGGATAAATGTACACTTACGTACGCACACACACATACAAGCACACTCGTACATACGCACACACACACGCACACGGCTACATATTTATATGCTGCAGAAGAATTATATGACCACCCTGCACTATTCCTTTTGCGTGCATTGATCCTTCAAGGATCCTTCCTTCACCCCTTCAAGGATCCTTCCTTCACTCCTTCAAGGATCCTTCCTTCACCCCTTCAAGGATCCTTCCTTCACCCCTTCAAGGATCCTTCCTTCACCCCTTCAAGAATCCTTCATTCACCCCTTCAAGGATCCTTCCTTCAGTCCTTCAAGGATCCTTCCTTCAGTTCTTCAAAGATCTTTCCTTCTCTCCTTCAAGGATATTTCCTTCTCTCCTTCAAGGATCCTTCCTTCTCTCCTTCAAGGATCCTTCCTTCTCTCCTTCAAGGATCCTTCCTTCTCTCCTTCAAGAATCCTTCCTTCAGTCCTTCAAAGATCCTTCCTTCTCTCCTTCAAGGATCCTTCCTGCTCTCCTTCAAGGATCCTTCCTTCTCTCCTTCAAGGATCCTTCCTTCTCTTCTTCAAGGATCCTTCCTTCTCTCCTTCAAGGATCCTTCCTGCTCTCCTTCAAGGATCCTTCCTTCTCTCCTTCAAGGATCCTTCCTTCTCTTCTTCAAGGATCCTTCCTTCAGTCCTTTAAAGATCCTTCCTTCTCTCCTTCAAGGTCCTCCTTCTCTCCTTCAAGGATCTTCCTTCTCTCCTTCAAGGACCCTTTCCCTTTCTCTCCTTAAAGGATCCTTCCTTCTCTCCTTCAAGGATCCTTCTTTCTCTCCTTCAAGGATCCTTCCTTCTCTCCTTCAAGGATCCTTCCTTCAGTCCTTCGAAGATCCTTCCTTCTCTCCTTCAAGGATCCTTCCTGCTCTCCTTCAAGGATCCTTCCTTCTCTCCTTCAAGGATCCTTCCTTCTCTTCTTCAAGGATCCTTCCTTCAGTCCTTTAAAGATCCTTCCTTCTCTCCTTCAAGGATCCTTCCTTCTCTCCTTCAAGGATCCTTCCTTCTCTCCTTCAAGGATCCTTCCTTCTCTCCTTCAAGGATCCTTCCTTCTCTCCTTCAAGGATCCTTCCTTCTCTCCTTCAAGGATCCTTCCTTCTCTCCTTCAAGGATCCATGGGTATGTAGTGACCACCACAGAGAGAGAGAGAGAGAGAGAGAGAGAGAGAGAGAGAGACTATAGTATTCTTCAAGACTCATAATTGAAATGCGTGTAACGGAAACCCGTGTGAGTCAGTTGAGTACTGACGCTGGTTATCTTATCACTATCAAGGTGAGATAGTTGTGATAACTTACGTTTTGTAGCCTAGTGCTCCCTTGCTCCCTCACCTTCACTTCTACCTGGTTACTTCTAGTCCTTGAACTAGCCTTGACCTGGTACTACTAGTACTCTCACTCCCCACTACCCGGCTTCTGCTAGTCCTTGAACTAGCCTTGACCTGGTACTACTAGTACTCTCACTCCCCACTACCCGGCTTCTGCTAATCTTTGAACTAGCCTTGACCTGGTACTACTAGTACTCTCACTCCCCACTACCCGGCTTCTGCTAATCTTTGAACTAGCCTTGACCTGGTACTACTAGTACTCTCCAAACTACCTGGCTTCTGCTAGTCCTTGAACTAACTTTGACCTGGTACTACTAGTACTCTCACTCCCCACTACCCGGCTTCTGCTAGTCCTTGAACTAGCCTTGACCTGGTACTACTAGTACTCTCACTCCCCACTACCCGGCTTCTGCTAATCTTTGAACTAGCCTTGACCGGGGAAACTACTATACTCTAAAAAACTACCTGGCTTCTGCTAGTCCTTGAACTAACCTTGACCTGGTACTACTAGTACTCTCACTCCCCACTACCCGGCTTCTGCTAATCTTTGAACTAGCCTTGACCTGGTACTACTAGTACTTTCCAAACTACCTGCCTTCTGCTAGTCCTTGAACTAACCTTGACCTGGTACTACTAGTACTCTCACTCCCCACTACCTGGCTTCTGCTAGTCCTTGAACTAACCTTGACCTGGCACTACCAGTATTCTCACTCTCCACTACCCGGCTTCTGCTAGTCCTTGAACTAGCCTTGACCTGGTACTACTAGTACTCTCACTCCCCACTACCTGGCTTCTGCTAGTCCTTGAACTTGCCTTGACCTGGTACTACTAGTACTCTCACTCCCCACTACCTGTCTTCTGCTAGTCCTTGAACTAGCCTTGGCCTGGTACTACTAGTACTCTCACTCCCCACTACCTGTCTTCTGCTAGTCCTTGAACTAGCCTTGACCTGGTACTACTAGTACTCTCACTCCCCACTACCCGGCTTCTGCTAGTCCTTGAACTAGCCTTGACTAAAGCTGCCGGTTGCCCCTCCTTTCTCCCTGGTGTACTGAAGAAAGGTGCCAGCCAGTGCAGGTGCACGTGTGTTCTCCCACACCACCTGCTTGTCATCTGTCCAGACTTGCAAGGTAATCATATCTTGACGTTTTTTGCTGCCATCAAATCTAAACAATTGAAGCAGCTCCCTTATTGTTGGGCATCCAGCAGCGGGAAGTCTCCTCATGATGAAGTTGTTAAGCTCTTCATGCCTTACAGTTTTTCTCTTGTATGTACTACAAAAAAAACCATAGTACCTGATTCAGTCTGCCGATGCACTGCCGCAGATACACCTGTGTTCAGCATGTATAGAGGCAGCAAGGCGAAGAGCAACACTGATACAAATAATCTCCGGGACTAGGCGTGTACCTAGAAAGGAATTTCGATGGCCAACAGAAAATCTCCAATGTGAGGAGCTCTCACTGTCATAAAGTGAGCCCTATCCTTTCCTAACATACTCCCAAGTAATAATGGGGATATATTCTCCACTATTTAACCATCCCAGTGCGACTGTTTGTAGTTGTTGGGGGGGGGGGGTAAGATCCGGCTGTGAAATCTGTTAGAACATCTCAGAGCTTGACTCTTTTGCTTGTGAACCATAACACTGTAGCTGAGGTGTTCAGGGAGAATCACTGCTACAGGTTTACTGGTCATAACAAACGAAGACAGGAATGCAGGAAGTGCTATCTATGATGGCTCTGCGGACACTAGTACCTCCTGGGCTGACTAGAAGTGTAGCTTGGTCCCACCGACCGTCTTCTAGAGTGAAGTTGAGTATTTTTGTAATTATCATCTTCGGGAAATTTAGGGTTGTCAGATGAGGGTACATATCATAGGAGATATGTTAACCTGGACTGACTCAAGTACTTTGTGAGAAGGTACATATCATCGTGATCATCTAGATTACCTATTCGTTATTCTGTTCTCCGCGAATCATTCATTATCTCGAGAAATGTGTTATTGGCATCGGTTCCTAGAGCAGGGAGCACCTGGCAGTATGGATCTTATTACATAAATCGCTTGTTGATTGGCTGAGATGATTCCGCATTTGGATGGATTAAGGGTGAGTTCCACGGCCTGTACCCGCGCCATCACCTGAACAAAACCTACTAAAAGGGACTTCTTTGTGCCAGGAACCGGTGCTTAGCTCACTGGTCAAGCTGATGGTGAAAAGGATGGGGGAGAGAGGATCCCCTTGCTGGACACCCTCTGATGAAGGGATTTCATGCTTCCCAAACAGGAGCATTGATTCCTTGTCTTATCCAGCTAAAACAAAATGGAAGAGACTAGGGAAAGCGTGTTTGTATGGCTGTTAATGCCACGTCTCTTCAGTAGATTAATACATTCTTGATGTCTAGTTTTAATGCTACGTTGTCCTCAGGCAGGTTACTGACATACGTCCATGCTGCACGAGCCACTGCTTCTCTGCCTTGAGGGACACCAGAGTCAAGCTGGCGGTGTGGTTGATGCATCATGACCGCCTCTGTTCGGACACTTGGGACAGCAGCTTTAGCAACGAGACGGTAAGAGATAAGATAAGATAAGATTTCGTTCGGATTTTTAACCCCGGAGGGTTAGCCACCCAGGATAACCCAAGAAAGTCAGTGCGTCATCGAGGACTGTCTAACTTATTTCCATTGGGGTCCTCAATCTTGTCCCCCAGGATGCGACCCACACCAGTCGACTAACACCCAGGTACCTATTTGCTGCTAGGTGAACAGGACAACAGGTGTAAGGTAACGTGTCGAAATATTTCCACCCGCCGGGAATCGAACCCGGGCTCTCCGTGTGTGAAGCGAGAGCTTTAGCCACCAGGCTCGGTGGCCTGGGTCTAATCCCCCCATCTTTCTTTTCTCAGAGACCAAAGTGATGCACCAAACAATGGTTTAATTTCACTGGGAATCAGACCAACCAGAGAGGTGACGAACCCTGTGATCTATGACAGCAGTGTGTCTGCAGTCTCCCACAGAACTGGATAAACCATCTCTTTTAAATGCGGAATTGGACTGAAGTATTCTTGACGTTCAGGCAGGTGCTAGTTTAATATGTTTATTATACACCCCATACCCATCCTGTGGGTGGTAGTGAAAAGATTACAGAGGTACATAATAGGTCCAGGAACTGGACTCCAAAGTTATGATAGCTGAACAAATTACAAAGGTAATGAACTAGATCTGGTCACAATCATGACCAAGTTACAGGCAGGTGAGAAGTGTGTACTCACATTGACCCTCGTAACGTTGATAGTACTTCAGACCTCCCTAGTAACTTTTTTTCCCTTCCTCCGTTTGTTTCTCTTACCTTTCCTCTTCATCATTTCTCTTCCCTATCATATGCGGCCTTCCCCATCCGTCTTTTTCTCCCGGGTCCCCCCCCCCTCTCCCCATTTAAAAGGGGAGGGAGGACAATCATGGTAATGTGGATAATTTCCATCAAGGTGATGTAGACAACCACAGAAGACAGTGTAGGTACTTACCATACTTTCCTTCCATTTCCATGATTTTAGCCACCCTGGCGAGCCCTTTCTGCCGTTGTCTCTCCACGTCATCTGTCTGCTGAGCGCTGGACACAACAGAGGCCAGCATCAGCAACGCCAGCACCTGCCTCCATCCTCGCCTCATTCTCTTTTACCTCAAGTACCACACTAAGGTTATGGTCGACACTCAGAGTAGTCTAATAGTTGGGGCCTAGAGCTGAGACTCGAGCCCCCCCACAAACACAAAGTGGTGACTGCAACAACCAGCACAAGTCAACAGTTTTGAAGTGATATGGATGTAAAACAAATACCCATAAGTCACCAGCTGGTCTCACTGCCTCAAACGATTACTTTCGTTAAGTTTTGAGTCTTTTCACTTCTTTCTGACGTATATCGCATTTGCTTGAATCAACATAAATTTATGGACGTCTTACAAGTGTGGACTTGATGGTGACACTGTGTGTGTGAGCAGCGGCCAACGCTACAGTTCCTTGCTGCTTATCATATAATCTTATCATATCACCAGAGTACTTACAGCTCGGGTACCCGCCTCTACTCTACCAATTGTGCAATGCTTTATTGATGATTAAGTACACTAAATATGTCAGCAAGAAGGAAAAGACACAAGTTTGACTTATGTGTTGAAACTCTGTAATTGTGTCAAATAGAGTTAGTTATTTTTACTCAGTGTTGAATATGGTGTGAGCTCAATTAGCGCCATGAACTCACACCTGAAGGATTCAGATTCGATTCCGACTGGGGTGAAGATCTTAGGCATACCTCCTCACATGTATTGTTTCTATTCACCAAGAAGTAAATAGGTACCTAGATGTTAGGTGAATGTTGCAGGTCGCATCCTGGGAAAGAGGATCAAACGACACCTAAAAAATAAGCCAGACTGATTAACTTTCTTCCGTTATCATGGCTGATTACTACCAGTAATACACAAATAACCCGCACTTAGAAGAAAGGAGCTTATGACGACGTTTCGGTCCGACTTGGACCATTTACAAATGTGTCAGTGTGACTTGTAATTTGGTCTAAGTCGGACCGAAACGTCGTGGTAAGCTCCTCTCTCCTGTGTGCGGGTTATTTGTGTATTTCTCCAGTCACTGTATTGTGCCTTGTTGTTCAGTACTACTAATAATATAATCAAATTAAGCGCTAAACCCGAAAAGGTCATGAAGTGCCGTCACGGATTACTACCTCTCAGGATCAGTAATGTGAAGGAAGTCTCAGTCTGACTGACAACCTCAAATCTACAGCTTCAAGGGTGATGGACTGATTATATCGTCTTCACTGTTCCTGCGTATTTCCTGTACTCGACTGAAAAAGCCTACTGTGTAGGCGAAACGTTTCGGAATAAAGTTGCCTAAATGTTGCATATGTGTCTTACCTGCCATCTCTGCTTTCTATTGGTAAGCCATGCCTCAATCCATGCTAGAACTTTACCTCCTATACCATGAGCTGCCACTTTTCTTAAGAGTCTCTTGTGAGGTACTCTATCGAAGGCTTTACTAAAATCCAAATAAACAATATCGTATTCTTTATCACTGTCTACTGCCTCAAATGTTCTATTGAAGAACGTCAGTAAATTTGTCAGGCAGGAACGACCTCTCGTGAACCCATGCTGAGGTTCATTAATCAATTTATGCTCTTCAAGGTGACTTCTAATAATGTCAGCTATAATTGATTCTAATAACTTGCCCACTATAGATGTCAGGCTTATTGGACGGTAATTTGAAGGAGTGGATTTATCCCCTGATTTGAATATAGAAACTACATTAGCCAGCTTCCACAGCTCTGGCACAACGCCGGTAAGGGTAGACGCATTAAACACGCTTGTTAATGGCTGACTAAGCTCCATCTTGTATTCCTTAAGTACCCTGGAAAACAACTTGTCGGGTCCCGGGGACTTATTTTGCTTCAGTTTGTCTATCTGTTTGATAACCATGTCCCTCGTGACAGTAATATTATTCAATTTGAATTCGTCAGGAACTGAATAATTGCTAATTTCTGCTGAGTATCATTAATCAGATTATGCTTATCCAGATGGCTTCTCATAATCTCAGCTATAATTGACTCTAGTAATTTGCCTACAATTGAGGTTAGGCTTATTGGGCGGTAATTTGACGGTAACGACTTGTTCCCTGTTTTAAAAATAGGAATTACATTAGCCATCTTCCACATATCAGACACTACACCTGTTTGAAGAGATAAATTAAAAATATTAGTTAATGGTTCACAGAGTTCCATTTTGCATTCCTTAAGAACCCTTGAAAAAACCTCATCAGGACCCGCAGACTTATTTTGCTTCAGTCTGTCTATCTGCTTCACAACCATCTCACTAGTGACTGTGATGTTACATAATTTATCCTCTTCTAGCCCACTGTAAAAATTAATTACTGGAATATTATTAGTGTCTTCCTGAGTGAAAACCGAGAGAAAATAATTATTTAAAATCGAGCACATTTCATTCTCTTTGTCAGTAAGATGCCCATAGTTGTTTTAAGGGGACCTATCTTATCTCTAACTTTTGTTCTATACGCCTGGAAAAAACTTTTTGGGTTAGTGAAAAAACTTTTTGGGTTAGTGAAAAAAACTTTTTGAGTTATTCAACCTAAATTTGAAACTACCCAAAGTCTTAGCCTCAATAACCCAACTAGACTGTTCCACTCATTAACTACCCTATTTTCAAACCAATACTTTCCTATAGCCTTTCTAAATCTAAACTTATCTAATTTAAATCCATTACTGCGGGTTCTCTCTTGGAGAGATATCCTCAAGACCTTGTTAATATCCCCTTTATTAATACCTATCTTCCACTTATACACTTCGATCAGGTCTGGAGTTTACCTGGAGAGAGTTCCGGGGGTCAACGCCCCCGCGGCCCGGTCTGTGACCAGGCCTCCTGGTGGATCAGAGCCTGATCAACCAGGCTGTTACTGCTGGCTGCACGCAAACCAACGTACGAGCCACAGCCCGGCTGATCCGGAACTGACTTTAGGTGCTTGTCCAGTGCCAGCTTGAAGACTGCCAGGGGTCTGTTGGTAATCCCCCTTATGTGTGCTGGGAGGCAGTTGAACAGTCTTGGGCCCCTGACACTTATTGTATGGTCTCTTAACGTGCTAGTGACACCCCTGCTTTTCATTGGGGGGATGGGTGCATCGTCTGCCAAGTCTTTTGCTTTCGTAGTGAGTAATTTTCGTGTGCAAATTCGGTACTAGTCCCTCTAGGATTTTTCCAGGTGTATATAATCATGTATCTCTCCCTCCTGCGTTCCAGGGAATCAGGTTTAGGAACCTCAAGCGCTCCCAATAAATTGAGGGTGTTTTATCTCCGTTATGCGCGCCGTGAAAGTTCTCTGTACATTTTCTAGGTCGGCAATTTCACCTCCCTTGAAAGGTGCTGTTAGTGTGCAGCAATATTCCAGCCTAGATAGAACAAGTGACCTGAAGAGTGTCATCATGGGCTTGGCCTCCCTAGTTTTGAAGGTTCTCATTATCCATCCTGTCATTTTTCTAGCAGATGCGATTGATACAATGTTATGGTCCTTGAAGGTGAGATCCTCCGACATGATCACTCCAGGTCTTTGACGTTGGTGTTTCGCTCTATTTTGTGGCCAGAATTTGTTTTGTACTCTGATGAAGATTTAATTTCCTCATGTTTACCATATCTGAGTAATTGAAATTTCTCATCGTTGAACTTCATATTGTTTTCTGCAGCCCACTGAAAGATTTGGTTGATGTCGCCTGGAGCTTTGCAGTGTCTGCAATGGAAGACACTGTCATGCAGATTCGGGTGTCATCTGCAAAGGAAGACACGGTGCTGTGGCTGACATCCTTGTCTAGTCGGATATAAGGATGAGGACAAGATGGGAGCGAGTACTGTGCCTTGTGGAACAGAGCTTTTCACCGTAGCTGCCTCGGACTTTACTCTGTTGACGACTACTCTCTGTGTTTGTTAGTGAGGAAATTATAGACCCATCGACCGACTTTTCCTGTTATTCCTTTAGCACGCATTTTGTGCGCTATTACGCCATGGTCACACTTGTCGAAGGCTTTTGCAAAGTCTGTATATATTACATCTGCATTCTTTTTGTCTTCTAGTGCATTTAGGACCTTGTCGTAGTGGTCCAATAGTTGAGACAGACAGGAGCGACCTGTTCTAAACCCATGTTGCCCTGGGTTGTGTAACTGATGGGTTTCTAGATGGGTGGTGATCTTGCTTCTTAGGACCCTTTCAAAGATTTTTATGATATGGGATGTTAGTGCTATTGGTCTGTAGTTCTTTTTCTGTTGCTTTACTGCCCCCTTTGTGGAGTGGGGCTATGTCTGTTGTTTTTAGTAACTGTGGGACGACCCCCGTGTCCATGCTCCCTCTCCATAGGATGGAAAAGGCTCGTGATAGGGGCTTCTTGCAGTTCTTGATGAACACAGAGTTCCATGAGTCTGGCCCTGGGGCAGAGTGCATGGGCATGTCATTTATCGCCTGTTCGAAGTCATTTGGCGTCAGGATAACATCGGATAGGCTTGTGTTAATCAAATTTTGTGGCTCTCTCATAAAAAATTCATTTTGATCTTCGACTCTCAGTCTGGTTAGCGGCTTGCTAAAAACTGAGTCATATTGGGACTTGAGTAGCTCACTCATTTCCTTGCTGTCATCTGTGTAGGACCCATCTTGTTTAAGTAGGGGCCCAATACTGGACGTTGTTCTCGATTTTGATTTGGCATAGGAGAAGAAATACTTTGGGTTTCTTTCGATTTCATTTATGGCTTTTAGTTCTTCCCGCGATTCCTGACTCCTAAAGGATTCTTTTAGCTTAAGTTCGATGCTTGCTATTTCTCTGACCAGTGTCTCCCTACGCATTTCAGATATATTGACCTCTTTTAGCCGTTCTGTTATTCTTTTCCGTCGCCTGTAAAGGGAGCGCCTGTCTCTTTCTGTTATGGCGATTGACCGAGGAAAACAAGAGGATTCGTAGTAGTCCTCCTGCTTTGAGTCCTCAGGTCAAGAAGGGACCCTGGACAGTGGCTGGACAGCATGGAACGAAGTTGACAATCAAGAAGATGAATGGAAAGGTAGAAACGATGAAGAAGAAAGAGACTGCAGTGGAAACTGTTGTGGAAATACCTAATGCATTCTCCGTGCTACCCGACGAATATGAGTCGACTACTGAGAATGTCACGACAAATGACACCAAGAAAGGTAAGAATATTGTTGTTGTTGGGGATAGCCAGGTTAGGTACATGGATAGGGCATACTGCTTGAAGGACAGGAGTAGGAGGCAGAGGGTTTGCTTTCCTAGGGCTGAGATGGAGGATATTGTTAGCCATCTGGATGACATCGTGAGAGGCAATGGGAGCAATCCTATTATCTGTCTCAGTGCTGGAGACAACGATGTTGGCAGACGTAGGAGTGAGGACCTGATTAGCAGGTATAGGTAGCAATAGAAATAATTAGGAAGAAGGGTGGG